TGAGCTGATGACAAGCGTTCAAAGCTGCATCGCGCAGGATAATGATGAATTGTCTTTTAGCCTGAAGTGTGTATCTAGTTTTCTAGAATTACTTAGCTTCTACCTGAAGTCAACTTTTGTGGCTTGGGGTGGTAATCTTTATGTCCAGAGATCAGGGATATGCATAGGCTCATCAGTAGCTCCGATTTTAAGCGAAAATTTTCTCGAAAAGATTGGTGTAGCACTTCAAAATCATTTGTCAGGACTCCCGGTTCACGTATTCAGATACGTCACTGATTTTCTCGTGTTCACTACGTCCTCAGATTTTATGCGAGATGTTGTGAATATTTTCAAGGTTTTCAGAGAAACAGGCAAGAAACTAAACTTTTCTTTTGAATTTCCGCGTCTACAGCAACTGCAATTTCTAGATCTTAACTTGATCTTCGAACCCCAGCATGTTTGCTGGTATTATTGTCCTAAATCCGTAAAAGGCAGCGCCCCGTTTCTACTCTCCACTCTCATGTGGTAAGTGGTATTTCGGCCAAACGGGGCGCTGCCATAATGAAAGGCTAAAATAGCACTATTATAATGTTCACAAAGCAATCCAGGGCCACATTGGAATTCACTGCCGCGATTGTGGATGTTCCCCCATGTTTGATCAATGTGAAGTGGTTAAAAAGCACCCGTCACAATTAACTCGGGAAATTATAGAAGCGCATTGTATAGCAAGAGCTGGCATCACGTGTATTAGCGCCCCTTCTTTGCTTTTATCTGAACATGAAGTGGCCTTCCTTAATCAGGATAACCTCCTATGAATCTGTGATATGTGACGGTTAGATGTTGTGTGTAATCTTGTCGTTGCGTTAGGGTGGTTTTGTATGCTTGCGCCGGTCTACATATTTGATGCAGTTTGACAATAAAGCTCAGTTGGAAGTTAGTGCTCTGTCCTCTTGTGTCGGTCTGCTCGGCCGTTTCTTCTTCCCCGTGATGCGCTATACCAGTTCAAGTACGATGTCATCACGTCCGTTTGTAACAACAAGATTAAGAAACTCAAATTTGAAGGGAACCACTCGGGGCGTCGTGATGAGAGTAGATAAGCTAGGAGGATAGCAGTGATTCCTTACCTTCATAAGACATCGCATGAACTTAAGCAACTCGCTAATAGATATAAAGTCGATGTGCTTTTCTCAGCCAAAAGAAAACTGCAGTCTATTTGTTCATGCATGCGCAGAGAGTTTCCGCAATGTCGCATGAAGCACAGCAAAAAGTTTGTGGACTGCGCAATAGACGTTGTTTACATGACACCTTTTAGTTGTGGTAAAGTGTACATCGGTCAGTCGGGAAGGTGCGTGAATGTTCGTCTCAGAGAGCACGATTCTTCTTTGAAACCCTTGGGTGCATTGCATCTCGTGGCTTATTGCAGAGAGTGTGGTTGTTATCCTGTTTTTCAGGATACTGAAGTGGTTTTTCGATCTCACAATCATTTAACTCGTGAGTTGACAGAAGCTTTTCACATAAGAAAAAGAGGGGAACAATGCATCAGCCAGCCTTCTGTTTTGCTGCACGATACAGAGTTTGCTTTTCTAGATTATGTTCTGAGGTAATCTTTCTTCTTTTACCCTGTTGTCGATGTGCCACGGGTGTACTTTTTTGCCAGCACACGCATGCGTTGTTTTCCGATTGCCTGTTTATATATTCTTGCCTTTCTAATAAACAGTTTAGTTGCGAGAAAGCGCTTGTCCTCTCTTTCTTTCTGTTTATTCGTGCGCTTGAACTGACAAATATATCATACATCAAGCGCCTATCTAACAAAAAGAAATGGCTCTATCATTCAGCTAAATCATCTTTTAACCAAGCACGTTGGGAATCTTATGAAACTGCTAATCGTACATACATATATCTGCCCTAAAGGAAGCTAAAAATCATAACCTAACCCACACACCACCAGACATGATCAAAACAGACATTTGCAAGTTCTGGCGCGTCATTAACCCCCCTTGCGATAGCACTATCATTCTAAAAGTGACAGAAGGCAACATAATCCCAAGTAACGCTTGCACGATCACTCCTAATGACGCATTTTGCAATAATTTCTCGGTTTCAAGCAACATTCACCTACTGGACACCAGCGCATGCAACTATCTTATCATGGATCTTGTAACTGTACATTCATCTGGTATTGCTAAACTTATTGATAAATTACCCTTTAACTCAGCTCCAGGCTTCGACGGCATCAACAGCAAATTTTTAAAAAGCACTAGCGCCTTCAGCTCCATCATATTGACCAAAATCTTTCAACAATCCATAGACTCATCTACTCTTCCTTCGCATTGGAAAATAGGAAACGTGGTTCCTCTGTACAAGTTCGGCAGCAAAAACTCGCCCTTGATTTACTGCCCAATCTCACTGACCAGCACCTGTTGCAAACTTCTTGAACACGCAATTTTCACCAACCTGGTTAACTTCCTCAACTCAAACTCATTTTTCACCACAGCTCAACACAGTTTCCATAAAGCTTACCCATACGAAACACAACTAATATCATTTACTCATGAACTAAACTGTATTTTAGATCGCGCCTCATCTGCTGACTGTGTGTTTTTAGATTTTAGTAAATGATTTGACAAAGTTTCGCATCAACTACTTCTTTTCAAACGAAGTCTTTTGAACCTCGATAATAACATACTAAAATGGATTGAATATTTTCTTTGTAACCGCCATCAGTTTGTTACTGCTAATAATCACGACTCACCTGTAACTGAAGTTGTTCCGGCGTGCCTCAAGGATCAGTACTAGGACCACTTCTTTTTCTAATCTTATTAACGACTTGCCATTTACATTGACATCTCATGTTCACTTATTTGCTGACGATTGCATAATTTACCGTGAAATAATCAGTACTGATGATTCTAATGCTCTTCAATCAGATCTAAACCTTATAAGTGATTGTTGTAATACCTGGGGAATGCAACTAAATATTAATAAATGTAAAATTTTACGTGTTCATAGAAATTCTACCACCCTTCTATTCTACCATATGAATAATATTCTCTTAGATCCTGTGAATTCGTATAAATACTTAGGCATTCATACAACTTCAAACCTAACCTGGTCTCTTCATATTGAATACATAACCCGTAGAGCTAACAGCACGCTTGGCTACTTACGTCACAAATTTTCTAATGCCCCGTCATCTTTGAAATTACTACTTTATTAGTCATTAATGCACCCGAAACCAGAATACGCCGCAGCAGTGTGGGACCCACACAATGAAAACCTCATCTCTCTAGAACTTCTTCAAAACAATTCTGTTTGTTTCATTTATTCCAATTATAACCGCACTTCCAGCATATCTTCAATGAAAACTAACCTATGTCTTCCATCACTAGCATCACAGCGAAAAATAGCTCGCTTAACTCTGTTTCATAAAATATACCATCACCCATTTCTTCATAATAACTTCATTTCACAGCCACATTACTTATTGCACTGTGTAGACCATCGCTTCAAAGTCGGAATTCAAGCAGGAAATACCAACACCTTCAGTCATTCATTTTTCCCTAGAACATCTGGACAATGGAACCACCTTCCCAATGACATAGTCACCATCATTGATAATAAACTTTTTCGAAAGGCTATAGCTAACATTGTTTAACTTGGAATTCATGGCACCTTATTATTGTTGTAAAGTTGCATAAACAGGAATTAATGTCATGTTACTTTGTTTGTTTTTTAATATTATCGCAAAGCATTTCCTTGCTACATTGTATGTACTGCTACTTCTAGTCGTTTGTTTTATTGCACTCTTGTATTACGTTCTTGTTCCGTTATTTACCACCCAAGTTTGCACAATTTTCTGTTCACCACTCCCCCCTGCAATTCCCTCAGGCCTTGAGGGTACAATAAGTAAATAAATAAACCCTATCATACTAGCAGAATTTTCTAATTTAGAATTTACATTTATTCTATATATTGCTTGTTTTTTCCTGTCTTGCATTGTACACTGCCATGCATTTGTTATTCCCACCGATCATACTTCACCTTACCTTTTTTAATGCATTGCATTCATTTTTTTATACTTACCTTCTTTTAGGGGCGAAGCTTCTTATGGCGTGGCTTGTGCGTCTCTCGTAGTACATAACCACCAGTGGCACATACCCGAAACAGGTATAACATTTGACCTCCAAGGTGGTGCCGGTGAGAGATTTCTCCTGTGCGTTGTTTAACAATAAAAAATAGTGCTCAATGCACATGCCAATGGCTACTAATGGGGAATGAGAGACAGGAGCATTCGGCTTTTAGTCAACGCCCATGCTGCGATCCCCATTAGCAGCCATTGGCATGTACACATTGAGCACTATCGGACAAGAAAGGGTTGTTACATTATACTCGCTGGGCGTAACCTCCTTAGTTTTAGAAAGGTTTAGCGAGTGTTGAGCCGCAGGGCCATGAATACAGTGAACTAGTATATACCATGAACTCAAGGTGGTTGAAGGTGGGAAGTAGACTCGAAGCGCAAGCCGTAACAAAGTGTGCATGTGCCATCTCTCGTTTAGTCCTTAGAATGTCCACTGAATGGCGGTGCTTCTATATGGGGAATATATGATAAAAAGATGCGAGATGGTGGGACTTGGAGTGTTGAATAGATGGACGAACGGACACACAGACAGATGCATGGATGGACGCAGGGGCAGATGCATGAACGAACGCAGGGAAGGGCGCACGAACAGACGTATGGACGGTCACACAGATGGACGCATGGACGGACGAATGCTTCGCCCCACTCTCCATCATTCACTCCGTGGATATGCCGCCATTTTTTTCTTGTACAAATATGCTGTTGTCTACTCCCACCATGTAAATAATGGCTGTTCTTGGGCGGCTATCAGGGTAAAAAATTTGATTGGAAAAAGATTGGTGAGAGAATATAAAAATTAATTGTTTAAAAAAAGTGATAAATTTTTTTGTGAAATAAAATAAAATGTGTGTATTTGCATTGCTTGAGTGTGACAAGTCTGTGCTGTGCATACACTGCAAATATACACCGTTTTTATTCGTGCTTATAGAAGACAACAACTCATTCATTAAGGGTACACAGAATAGGATCACCCAGTAAGCAGTGTGATCCTGCCACACTAAACACGAAGGTAATCACCTACGACCCCAGCCTTCACGCAGCTGGTGCCACGTGTTGAGAATGGGCTCCCTGCGCTTCCATATCTCCTGGCCATAGAGCACGTAGCCCCTGCAAAGGTATTACATGCACACCATGCACGTCCAAAAATGAAAAAGCCCGTGCTAAACAGGACGTCAGATGCGATTATTAGAATTGAAGGGGTTGTCAAAAGATCTCTCCTAAAATGATCATTCCGAACCGGCAGCCACACACACAGATGACGTCAGCCTAAGCAGAGCAGACAAGCAGGGACGCTCATCGCGGCAACGGCTCGTTAAGTTCATCGAGTATGGACACTTTGCCATCATCATCTTCTACAGTAGACTTTCAGTAAACGGAACCTAAAGGAACCGGGAAGATATGTTCCATTTAACAGGAGTTCTATTATTGAGAGGTGAACATGGGTGCAGGATGCAAACCTGAAGTCAAGCATTGCATAAATAATAGTTCTGTTTAAGCAGTAGTTCTGTTTACTGAGAGTCTACTGTAGTTAGTGCATGAGGCTGCCGCATCGTCGTTTTAGGAGAGTAACCTTTTCAGGATAGGTGCATGTAAGTGGACTTCAAAAAGGCACTAAATACTCATTTGCTTATTCATGCAATGCAGGGGAACATCACTTGAATGACATTTAAGAGATCTCAGGAAAAAGATTGGTACATTAAAATTTCACTGCATTTGATACAACTATGTTGCAGCTTGTTATCACAAATTACAAAGAAACATGCTCAAATGAAGTTTTAAGGCAGTTATTCATAATGCTACTCAACTGCTTATAAAAATATAAATTTACGCTTATCAAGCATCTTGGGACAATGCAGTAATCTTTTGCTTCACTTGTGCACTGGTCATAAACCAAGTCACCGTGTCCAAGATCTTGCAAACCTCCTCAGACGCAACCCTCTCCTTGGAACTACCCCGAGTCCAGTCTATTAAAATTGTACAGTTTAAAGACACGCCCGTTTGGGACTCTTGATAAGCAGCACGTGGATGTAAGGCTGCAGCTGCCCATGAAGTTATAGACCTGGCTGTCATTGCAGTTGAAAGAAAATTTGGACTTACGGTATTGAAGCACCACTCAATGCAAAATCATAGCCTCTACGAATAGTTTTAGTATTGTGCATTCGACAGATCGAAGTCAGAAGAGGAAACTCGCAGTCAAAGTAAATGAAGCATGACGAACAATGAAAGGAAGGTCTCAAGCACAGGAAACAGCGTTACGTGCTATATTCCAATTGATCATCAGTGATCGATGCCTTGAATCATCGATTTTAGTATGTTAAATTTGTTTCACGTACATCTAGCCCTTCCCATTAGTTAGTCCAGCCATTTAACTATCAGAATCAGTTTGAGTTTACCCATTTTTGACAGACCTTTTCATGAACCAGAGCAAGAGTTGTTGGCAAACTGCTCTTGGCTGGTAAACTTGAGAGAAGTGCGTGCCACTCGTAATTATGAGCAAGTAAAATCGACGTTCTGTAATGCAAAGATCAAATATCAAATCATGATGTTAGCTTTGCTATCTGACAATGGTGAGTGGTAATAATTGCCTAAAATTTATGTCAGCTATTCACTAAAGAGCTCTCATTTGTAGTCAGAGAAATTTATTCCTCAAAAAATTATTTCTGAAGGTATGCCCCATGTATGCCACATGTATGATGTGTGCAGTTGTGCACGCTGTGGGGGTGCTGATACCCCTTGTAGGGTTGTTTGCGCTACGTGGCGCATGTGTCTCGCCCAAAAGTCGCATTTTGGGTGACAACCACCAGGCGATACGTGGCGTTGTGTTCGCGAGAGTTGGTCACCACTATCGTCATCATCATCATGGTGTAGCGCCGGCGGTGTCCCCTGGTGGAAAGCAAGCCTTGGTGGTGGGCGAGAGTTGAGCGAGTCTCTTTTGCGCGTGGCGGTTGCCACGAACGGTTGTCTTTAGCGTGGGTCCTCGGCGCGTGGTACCGCGACCTGCGCTCCGGGGGCCCATGTGGTAAGTCATGCGTTGGCGACGCCATTTTGGATATGTTATTGTGTGTTTGGTGTGTTACTGTGTTATGTTGTTTGTATGGTAGCGTGTTAATTACAATTGATGTATCGATTCGGCAGATGATATTGTCCATCTAAAATTAGTTAAATAAATGTGTATGTGTTTATTGGTTTGTACCGACAGCGTCTATGTGTTCGTTCACTCCAAGAGCGTGGGGTGGCGCTCGCTCGCCAATTCGAGACCCCCTCAACGCATGGGCATACAACTGCACTGCAAGAAGCGCACTCCGCGAGAAACAATCTTGCAACCTCACCTAAATTGAGTGATGACAAGCTTTGAGTCCAAAGATGACCTCACCTCAACTTTCAACTCTGATGACGATGTTTTGTGTCGGCCTGATAGATAGGCATCCATTCAAGGATTGGTTTCAATTACAGCCTCAAGTAACCTACTACCCCGCAGCTACAAAGGTGCTGACCTTTGTGCACAATCTTAGAGCTACTATAGTGACGTGTGAGGTTTGTACATCACTTGGGTGCAATATGCTAGTGCCGGCTGAATGGCTTCTCCTCAGGACAAGAAGGCCACTGGAGCACATCCCAGCCCTGCACTATGGCGTGACATGAGGAGTTTAAAGATTGTGCATACTTTCGTTTTTTTTTTTTTTTTTCAATACTATCTGCAAGAACACAAATAAATATGCTTGGATGCACATTTCGAAACACCAACCTACGCGGACAAGAGTGGCTCATGGCAAGAGAAACTGGTGAAGTTCATTAAGCATCTGATCTATTTGGGCGTTGCTCACACCATGGGCAGGCATAAAATTTGAACACCAGCAGGCCCTTATTGTAAGAAAAAAAAAAACTTTGTACGAAAAGTGCATGAGTGCACTTGCGTCTCGCGAAAAACCAGAAAATACTTCACCGTATGGCACAACCAATGAAGCAATACCTTGATTCAGGCTTTTTGTCTATGTCAATACAGGCTGTGTTGAAGATTTTTTTTTTTTTTTTGCTATTCCTGGGTCAGTTACCTTCAAAATGTATATTCTTAATTTTTTTTGCTTTGAATGTCCTTGTACATACAGTATTTTTTATTGCTCTAGTGATCAGCTCGCAACCCAAAATTACAAACTTTTCAAATTTTATACATTGCACAAGAGTTTTTTTGCTTTACAACATATCTTTTTTGGAAAGAGCATTTAATTATGCATATTTTGATACGCTGAATTGCGTGCTGGAGTACTCTTCAACCTGGCAAAAGCTCTGTTCCCAAGACATATGAAAAAAAAAATTTTGTTGCTGTAACGAAAGATTTAAGACATGGAGTGATGCGAAGGTGATTCAAAAAGGGCCGTTCGCTAATACAGTCGATCACGGATATATCAAGCTCGGATATATCCAACTATTGGCTATATCAAACATTTGAGAAATAACCTTGAATTTCTAATGCAAAAATATGGGACTGGTGGACCCGCATATATCGAAATCCTGCACAAAGAGACATCCGCTATATCGAATGCTGTGTCATGCCAAAACCCAAGAAGTGCACTTTTCCTTGCAAGTATTCATCGAATTTCGGCCGCGTTATAACAAGCTCCGATCTCTTTATATGCGCAGCTAATGAAAAAGCAGTGTTATTCTACCGTGCTGATCTGGTTTGTTGCATGGCGCTTGCGAGTGCACCGATACGTTTGATGTGTGATCTGCAGGTCCTAATGCACAGGCATAGTGTTTTTCAAATGACTGATTGCAGAGGACACCAAAATAAGAATGCGAAGGGACTCGGTGATCTCGTTGCAATGTTCGCATTTCCCTTCTCTGTTTGTTGGCGTACAATTGCAGGCAAGCCTGAAAAGTATGACCTTCTAAATGTGCATTTCCGTGACATACTTTTAGTTTTTTCAGTTTAGAAATGCGTGTCTCGGAGGCTACGCTTTATTTAGCTTTTGCATCAGAGCAGCTGAAAGCAGTGGCTGCCAGGCTGCCAGCTAAAAAGTCACAAGTAACAGCTATATTGCCAACATGTTGACGGCTGGGTAGTCGGTGTCACGGCTCAGTTATAGTGGCTAGAAAAAGACGTGTCATCTAAAAGTGTGCCCCGAGGCGGTTTCGATAGGCGATGGAGTGGGGGTCGTCCTGAGTAGGCGGTGGCAGAGTGGAAACCGGAAGTACAAGTTCAAAAAGCTCTGACTAAGTCCTCCCTTTTTTTCCCTCCTCCTCCTTACTGCGCCTTCTTTGCTCATTATCTGAAATTCAGAACTTTTAATACTAACGGCACAAAATGAATTGAAATTACTAGAAAAGAACTGGCAAACATTTCGTAAACCCTTTGTTTTTGAGCATGCATATTAAAAATTTGAAAAAAATTATGTGGCGAGGGGGTACTTATCTCAAGTCATGTACAGCATATTATTAATTTCAGGGCAAGTTTTGATCACTTTTTTAGCATCCGACGAAATACGATTACCACAGTCGAGATTGACCCACACATTAAAACACCATGTCACTGCGGTATATGGCTATGCTGAATGCATGTTTATTGCTTCCACAAATGTGCAGCACTTTTTTTCTGATACTGTGTTTGCATATGTTTCACAAGATTCACTGCGGTAAGCTGCTCGCATATCGTTTGAAAGAACGATGAACCCAGCCTTGAAGGGCATGCACACACAACAGGATTCACAAGCGCACAGCTGGGACTAGCAAAAGTTTAATGAAGCAAGACGGTTTGAAAAAAAAAAAAAAAAAAACACACACATGCGCTGCATGTAATTCAGCTGCTACAGATGAAAACACTGAGCTTGAGACAATCCGATAATTACTAAGATGACCATGCACCATAAAAATCATATTTAACACAAGACATGATACATTCTAATTACATTTTCAAAAAACATGATAGGCCTCTTGTCACGATAATGCTATGGGAGGTAGCCGTTCTTCAACGCTATGGAAGGTACACGATCAGGCCTATGTTTTTTTTCTTTGCATTTTATATATGCTTCAGTCATTTCCCTCTTTTCACATTTCTTTTATTGCTGGGTATCAGTAAAAACGAGCGAGCAACCTCCCTCTCTGCAGACGAG